AAAACATGACCGGGACACCATCACAACATGACCGGGACACCATCACAACATGACCGGGACACCGCCACATGACCCGGACACCATCAAAACATAACCGGCACACCGCCAAAACATGACCTTTTCCGCTGGTTAGAGGGGTCAGCAGCCTGGGCCTGTCGGCCGGGCAACTGCCTAACGTGAGTCCCTCATTGGGGAACCAAGCTAGCCCGGAAGCTACGAAGGCTCGAACGAAAGCTCCGGAGGAGCGGCGCCCACGGGCGTGGGTCATGCGGTGCCAAACAAGGTTCAAAGAAACGATCCGGTACCCATTTTAAATGGGCGGTCGTGTGTCCGGCGGACATCCAAGAACGAATCTGGCTGAGCATCTCTGGTTGTGCAGGAACGACAGGACGGACCCGAAGCCCATGTCTCCACTGCCGCGCGCCAAGCATGTACAGGCTTTTAACCATACCTTTGGGGACAGACGGCCAAATTGGAGGATCCGAAAGCATTGCAACCTGCTGAACAAGCGAAGCAAAGCTCTGGCAAAACGTGGCAAAAGGTATCAACCGCCAAAACATGACCAGGACAGGACACCATCAAAACATGACCGAGACACCGTCACAACATGATTGGGACACCATCACAACATAACCGGGACACCATCGTGCACAAGGTGACCGGGACACCAGCATGACATGACGGGGACACCATCACAACATGACCGGGACACCGTCACATGACCCGGACACCATCAAAACATAACCGGCACACCGCCAAAACATGACCAGGACACCATCACAACATGACCGCAACACCATCAAAACATGACCGGGACACCGTCACAACATGAGCGAGACACCATCACAACATGACTGGGACCCCGTCACAACATGACTGGGACACAATCACAAAATGACCGGGACACAATCACAAGGTGACCGGGACACCAACATGACATGACGGGAAAACCTTCACAAGATGACCAGGACACCATCACAACATGACCGGGACTCCGTCACATGACCCGGACACCATCAAAACATATCCGGCACACCGCCAAAACATGACCAGGACACCATCACACCAGGACCGGGACACCATCAAAACATGACCAGGACACCGTCACAACACGACCGGGACACCATCAAAACATGACCGGGACACCATCACAACATGACCCGGGCACCATCAAAACATGACCGGGATACCATCAAAACAGGACCGGGACACCATCACAACATGACTGAGACACAATCAAAACATGATCGGGACACCATCAAAACATGACCGGGACACCGTCACAACACGACCGTGGACACCATCAAAACATGACCGGGACACCATCACAACATGACCGGGACACCATCACATGACTGGGACACCATCAAAACATGACCGGGACACCACCACAACATGACCGGGACCAAAACACGACCGGGACACCATCAAAACACGACCGGGGCACCATCACAACATGACTGGGACACAATCAAAACATGATCGGGACACCATCACAACATGACCGCGCCACCATCACATGATCGGGACACCAAAACATGACCGGGACACCGTCACAACACGACCGGGACACCATCAAAACATGCCAGGGACACCATCACAACATGACCGGGACACCATCACAACATGACCCGGACACCCTCAAAACATGACCGGGACACCATCACAACATGACCGGGACACCATCAAAACACGACCGGGACACCATCAAAACAGGACCGGAACACCATCACAACATGATTGGGTCACAATCAAAATATGATCGGGACACCATCAAAACATGACCGGGACACCAGCATCACATGACCCGGACGCCATCAAAACATGACCAGGACACCATCCGCCCACCAGCTCTGACGGTGACCCGACGGCGCCCGGCCGCCTATTAGTTTTGCAAGACCCCATAGCATGGCTATTGGGGAACAAGAGGCAGCAGCAGCAGCCAAGCAGCAGCAAAAGCAGCAGCCAAGCAGTAGCAGCAGCCAATAGCTTCTTGCCTACGAGCTGCTTCCGCGAGCGCCTACGCGGGGCCTACGCGAAAATAGGTCCATCGATTATGGTACCAACAGGGTGTGCACACTTGTGGCTCAAGAGCCGGTGTGCCAGACCAAGCCTCAAAAACCTATGTGCCCCCATAGCTTCGACAAACAAACTTCAAACATCCACTGTAGCCATGCCATTACAATTCATGTTCCTTCCCCACTGGAATTTGCAAGCAAGTGTCAAGTTAAACAACTACAAGCCAACATTATCTTTCCCCAAGACCCTTGAACAACTTTTGAAGAAATATGAATAAGAAAACAAATGTTTTCGAAGTGTGCCTACGCAAGACTGCTTACGCAAGTCTTTCAACACCCACCTACGCAAAATGCTTACACGACGCCTACGCCCCAAGCAGAACAGGCTCCGCAACTTCTCAACAGTTCCCTTGTTGTATAAATGTAATGATTTGCAAAAAAACGTGGCTCATTTCTTCTTTTTCCTTTGGGGGATGGGTTATTCTCCAAAGGGTTGGTGGCTCATGATGCTCCGCAAGGCTGGCACTTAGAAACCCTGACCTGATCTGTCGGAAAAAATACCACAGACCCAGCCCTTACCTCTGTTTGGCCCCTACATGTTGTGATAGATTTCATACTGTGCAACTTGTTTAGTTATATTGGTATGTCCGCTTTGGAATCTTTAAGGATGAACTCCTCTCAAAGCTCTTGGCACACACAGATAGATAGATAGATAGAAAGATAGAAAGATAGATAGATAGAAAGATAGATAGATTAGATAGATTAGATAGATTAGAAAGACAGATAGATAGATAGATAGAAAGATAGAAAGATAGATAGATTAGATAGATTAGATAGATTACATAGATTAGATAGATTAGATTAGATAGATTAGATAGATTCAATAGATTAGATAGCTTAGATAGCTTAGATAGATTAGATAGATTAGGTAGCTTAGATAGATTAGAAAGATTAGATAGGTTAGATAAATTAGATAGATTAGATAGATTAGATAGATTAGATAGATAGATAGATAGATGGATGGATAGATAGTTAGATAGATCGATAGAGAGAGAGAGATAGAAAGAAAGAAAGAAAGAACGATAGATAGATAGATTAGATAGATTTGATTAGAGTAGAGTAGATTAGATTAGATTAGGTTAGCTTAGGTTAGGTTAGATTAGATAGATAGATAGATACATAGATAGATGAGATAGATAGATAGATAGATAGATAGAGAGAGAGAGATAGAGAGATAGATAGAGAGATAGATAGAGAGAGAGAGATAGATAGATAGATAGATAGATAGATAGATAAATAGATTAGATAGATTAGATATATTAGATAGATTAGATAGATTAGATAGGTAGACAGATAGATAGATAGATAGATAGGTAGATAGATAGATAGATAGATTAGATAGATTGGATAGATTGGATAGATTGGATTGATAGATAGATAGATAGATAGGTCGGTAGATAGATAGATAGATAGATACATAGATAGATTAGATAGATTAGATAGATTAGATAGAATAGAATAGAATAGAATAGAATAGAATAGAAAAGAACAGATAGATAGATTAGATAGATTAGATAGACTAAATAGATAGATAGATTAGATAGATAGATAAATAGACACATAGATAGAAAGATAGATAGATAGATAGTTAGATAGATGGATAGATAGATAGAAAGATAGATAGCTTAGATAGATTAGATTAGACAGATAGATAGATAGCTAGATAGATAGATAGACAGATAGATAGGTAGGTAGATAGGTAGATAGATACAGTAGATAGATAGATAGATGGATGGATGGGCAGATAGATAGATAGATAGATAGTTCTTTGAGTTTTTTGAGTTTGAGGCGCTTGCCGGGAGTCCGTCGAATGCGGGGCATGTCAACAGTGTCTTGACTGGTGGCTCCTCTCAACAGGAGCAGATGCACCTGGGTGCCTGTAAAGCTGCGCGCGATTTCAAAAAGAAAGAGGGCCGGCAAAAACTATTGTAGCGCCCGCACCTCTCAACATATCAATTGTCAAGAACTAGTGTTGCAGGAGCTCAAGACCTGGGGTCGGGCGTCACTGCAAGGCATGATGAGTGAAGTAACAAGGTCCCCTGCTGGCTTGGTCTTTTTTTTTTGGCTGGTGGACGGTCTTCGGTTTGGAGTAGGTGCCCAAAGGTGCCCCCCACTTGGGCCATCATGTCGTCCATCCCGTACTCGATTTGCAGCGATGGGGAGCGTGTGATATGCCAGATTGAGGGCCACAGGGCAATCTACTACCTCTTCAGATCTCAAGCAGAAGTTACAGCAGAACAGGTTCGGTGATGTGCAATGCTCCATGGGTGCCATAGCTTCATCATAGTCTTGGGCATGGTGAGT